CCAACCTAAATGATTCCATGATTCTATGATTCTATGATTCTCAGCAAATGGGGGAACCGGCACCCCATTTGCCTTGTAAATGACTGGGTTCTGGTGATTGTCCCCTTCCCTAAACCCCATGGTTTCCTTCTTCCTCCACCCAGGGCGACCCACTGACAAGCTGGTGGTGGTGCCGCGGGAGCCGGTGGTGCAGTACGGGGGCTCGGCGAACTGCTCCCTGGCGTGCGCGGAGGGCACGGTGCAGTGGAAGGGGCTGGACACCAACCTGGAGACCATCATCACCTTCCCCACTTACAGCATCCTGCACATCACCAGCGCCGTGGTCACCACAGGGGGCACCAAGATCTGCCATGGGACCTGCGATGGGCAGCACTACCAGCACAGTGTCAACCTGAATGTCTACGGTAAGCGTCCCCCAGCCCATCCCTCACCACCTCCCCAGCAAAGTCCTGCATCCCCCGAGGCAACCCGCTCCCTCCTGGACAGCGGTGCCAAAAATCACCGCTTGACGCTGCAATTTCTCTCTCAGCCCTCCCAGATACGCTGCAGCTGGAGGTGGAACCCCACGCACTGGAGCCTCCTGCCAGCCTGCGCTGCTCGGCCCGGCAGGTGTACCCGCTCAAGGGGCTGGAGTTGACCTGGTACCGGGGGGACCAAGAGCTGGCGCTTAAAGACTATGATGACACGGAGACCGAGGAGCAGCTGTTTGACATCGTGTCCACGCTGCCGGTGGATGGGAAGGAGGTGGTAGAAGGGGTGGAGTTCAGGTGCAAGGTGACGCTGAACATCGGGCAGGAGACCTTCACCCGGGTGGCATCTGTGACCGTGAGCACTGCGGGTGAGTGCCGGGGTGGGAGCCAGGGACCCGGGCTCGCACGCTGCCCCGTCCGCTGGAGCTGCCCCCCATTGCCCTGTGCTGCTTGAAGTCGCTTTGCTGGAGCGAGAGCAGCCCCCATTTCTGCACCGCTTAGCAAATCTCTCATCCCTGTCCCCATCCCCGCTGCCGTGCCAGCTGTGCCCATTTGCTCCTGCTCGCTGCTTCTCCCTGCCCAGGACTGGCTGCGTTCGTGGGGTGGAGGAGGATGGGGTCGTCAGGCAGCGCAGGTGGAGGGGGCTGTCACCCTGTGGGGATCTGTCCCCATCCCGGCTCCGAGCTGTGGTGAGGCCGCTCATAACC